TTTAGGACCTTCAACAAAAGTGGATTTTTAAAGAATATTTGTTTTCAAGGACCTCCAAGGAACATAGATTTTTTTTAAATAAAAAAAAGAATATTTTTTGAGCAGCAAATCATCGTCGATGTTTTAGGATTTTTTTTCAAGGACTTCCAACCACAGTGGAAAGTTTTTTTTAAACCATGTTTTTCAAAGACCTCCAAAAAAATGATTTTAAGGAACATATTTTCAAGGGCCAAATTAAGGACTTAATTTTGAATAATATTTTTCAAGGAATTATTTTAAAGCGGGATTTTCAAAGGATATTTTCTCAAGGGCCAACAGAACATAGATTAAAAAAAAACATTTTCAACGACATACAAGAAACGAGAATTTTCAAAATGTATTTTTAAAGACTTTTAAAAAAATAAATTTTTTGAAGAATATTTTAAAGGACCCACTAACATAGATTTTTTTAATAAATATATTTTTAGGACCTCCAACAAAAGTAAATTTTTAAAGAATATTTTTTTCAAGGACCTCCAAAGAACATAGATTTTTTTGTTTTTGAATAACTTCTTTTTATAAGGACCAATTTTTAAATAAAAAAAAATATTTTTGAGCAGCAAATCATCGACGATATCTTACGAAACTTTTTTTAAGGACTTCCAACCACAGTGGAACGTTCTTCTAAATCATGTTTTTCAAAGGCCTCCTAAAAATTAAGGACTAATTTTTCAATAATATTTTTCAAGGAATTATTTAAAAGGAAAATTTTCAAAGTATTTTTTTCTCAAGGGCCAACAGAACATAGATTAAAAAAAACATGTTTTTAAGGACATGCAAGAAACGAGAATTTTTGAAATACATTTATTTGAAGGACCTTTAACAAAGGTAAATTTTTTGAAGAATATTTTTAGAGGACCTTGGATTTTTAAAGAATATTTTTAGGGACTCACATATAGACTTTTCGATAAATATTTTTCTCAAATACAAAAATAATATTTTTTTAAAGAAAAGGTTCTAAAAGGACCTCGAACAAATTCTTATTTTTTGAACAATATTTTTCAAGAGAATATTTTTCGAATTTGCATCTGATTTTTCAAGAACCAACAGATCGACAAGTTTAAATGTTGAACGAATATTTTTGTGCCTCCTGATAGTTTCTAAGAGGGGATTTGTTTTCAAGGATTCCATCTTCACCAAATCTGGATTTTGAGGGCCTTTTTTGTAATGGATTTTTAAGAATTGCTTAGAGGACTCAGTGATCAATAAACGCAGATTATTTAGAAATATTTTTGAGAGTCCTCTGGTCACAAAATAAGGATTTTTCAAGGACCAAAAAGATTGAGGATTTTTAATATTTTTAAGGACCAAAAAGAAGATTTTTTAAATATTTATTGTTTGAGGACAAAAGGCCACAAAACGTGGGATTTTTTAATTGATTTTTGCAGGATCAACTGTTATCCTGGATTGTAAAGGAGTCTTCTTATAACATATCCAGAATATTTTGCAGGTATTGTTGAGAAGTATTTTTTACAATACATTCAAGTAATCAAACTTGGACTTTCAAAAATTAGCTTTTCAAGGACATGCAGTCCCATATTCATGATTTTTAAGGACAACTTTCGAAAGAATATCAGACAATTAATTTTTAAAGACTCTTCTTTGGGGCCTCATCAAATTTGACATAAAAAATATTACTTTAAGTCTTAAATTCTAAAGGGCTATAATCCAGAGTTTTAAAAGATATGTTTCAAGGACGTTCCGATTACCAAAGGTGGATTTAAGTTTTATATTTCTCTCTTGGCCTAGAATTCATGATTTTTCAAAAGATATTTTTTCAAGGTCCTTATAACAGCAGAATATCAAGGACATTTTTGTCAGGTTCATCAAGGCTATAGACGTAGATTTTTAAAGAGTTTGTCTTCAAGGACCTTTAGACAATCGAATTTGGATTATCAAGCATATTTTTTTTTCTACCCATAAAGGCTATAGACGAAGATTTTTCAAGTGTTTGTCTTCAAGGACCCTTAGACAATCCATCTTGCATTTTTAAAATGGATTTTCAAATAATAGATTTTCAAAAGACTTTGGAATATTTGTGCATTTCCAAAGAATATTTTCAAGGACCTTCAGGGACAAATTCATGCATTTTAAAGGGGCAATGATTTTTCTTTTTGATATATCAACAGAGTTTATTATGCCGACCAAATTTTACTTAAACAGATATTTTCCAAATATTTTTTAGACCATAGTTCTAGGCCAATAAAGGCTTTTTCCAGAAATATTCAGTGGTGAATTAAAAAAAAAATTTCGCAAGGACCTAGAAGGCCATTATACTTGACTCTCAGACCACTACAGATTATTTTTAAATATAATATTTTCTCGAGAACCTTTGGTCCAACAAATGTTGAATTGAAAAGATCTTTTTTTAAGAATTGTAAGGGCTGTAATCCTGGATTTAGAGGAATATTTTTTAAGCACATTGATTTCACTCAACTATTACTTTAATAGTTTTTTTTTAGAGCTTCATTAGGGCAGCTACACTGGAGACTGCTTCAGCGTGGATTTTTTAAAGAATGTATTTATAAACCTTACCAATTTTATCATTCTGTATTTATGGAGCATATATTTTTAAAAGAAATTGAAACCCCAAACATGGATTTTCATCATTTAGGTACATGTATCCTTTAATTCACACAGCCTTACATACAAAGGCATCCCTTTCTTATATTCCAAATAATGGTATTTTTATTGTCCTGTTGGCCAGAAACTGAGTTTACTCATTGCTTGTATATGTGTGCGTAATGAGGCACATTAGTCGCATAAATTACATAATATGGCCCAATGTCTGGCTGGAAAATAATACAAAATGATGCGGTAGTTTTGGTGACAATGGGCCAGCTAAAAATTTGTTGTGAATGCTGGCTATTTGTCAAGGAGATAAAAGTAATAATGTTGCATAATTTTAGGAGATGGCATATCCATTTTTTAAATTGAATTATATTTCAATTATCCAGGGTGAGATGTCTCATTTTTATACCCTACACCACAAGGTGGTCATTATACCCTACACCACAAGGTGGTCAGGTTTTGATGATCTGCATAGAATCACATTCTGAGTCGATTTATGCATGTCCGTCCGTCCGTCCGTCTGTCCATGTATTTTTGTAAACAAAGTAAAGCTCGCATTTATTGTCCTATCCAAATAAAATTTTGCACAAATCATTTGTTTGGCCCAAGGACGAACCCTATTGAAATTCGAGATAATTGGTCAAAATTTAGATATACCTCCCATACACATCTTCGTCCGATTTGCCTTTTATTGTGCACCAAACGTGTAATATTAGCCCGAATGGTATGGAATTTTGCACATACAACCAGATTAGGCCTGAAAATAAGTATGCCAAATTTGATAGAAATCGGTTCAGATATAGCTATAGCTCCCATATATATTGTCCATCCGATTTGTTATTTTTGTCCTCCGCAGCCGTAATATGCACTCCGTAACAACAATATTTTGGGGAATATATCAAATACAAATCAGAAATACTACTGAAATACTTGCTAAATTTGATCGAGATCGGGTAAGATTTGGATATAGCTCCCATATATAACTTCGTCCGATTTACCTTTTATTGTGCACCATACGTCTAATATTTGCTCAAATGGAATGGAATTTGGCACTTACGACCGAATTGAGTCTAGAAGCTTGTATGTCAAATTTGATGAAGATCGGTTCAGATATAGCTATAGCTCCCATATATACTTGTTCATCCGATTTGTTATATTTGTTACCCACAGCCGTAATATGCACTCCCCGTAACAACGATATTCAGGGAAATATATCAAATACAGCTCAGAAATATGTTTGCCAAATTATATCGAGATCGGTTCCGATTTGGATATATCTCCCATATATATCTTTATCCGATTTCAACTTAAGTGTGCACCAAATGGGCAATACAATTCCGAATTTAAAAGATGCAAATGCTTCAGCATATTTAGTTCTTTGAACTTTAAATTATAATTATAATCATAGCGTTTATGATTGAATTCTCCCATAAAAACTTTTAATTGTTATGCGGAGCTCTACTAAATTAGCAAAGTGGTGTAGGGTATCATAAAGTCGGCCGCACCCGACTTTAAGACTTTCTTTACTATTTTTTTTTTTTTTTTTATTTTAATTTGGTTCTTTTTCTAATTTTCGATTATATACGAATTATATTAACCTAAAAGTATGCAATATTATTCTTTTGGGGAAAATGTAGTTAGCATGTGACTATGGAATTTAAGAAAAAGATATATATTTTTCAAAAATTACTAAAGTTCATTAAGGGAGAAAAAAAATATTTTTAAATCACCCAGAAAAAAAGCAACTTGGAAATTTTAGAATAGGATATTTTTTTGAAGGGAATAGGTAGATGCCAAAGAAATTGCTTTCTAATTATGGCATACATTTCCACAATTTTTTCTTGTGGAATCAAAAAGAATATTAATTTTCTCAAATTTCCATATTTTTCTTCGAGGATAAAATAATTCTTTTTCTCCTTAAGTATTGCAAACAGCAATTATTTAATTATATTTTTTCCTTAAATTCCATAAACATCCACACTCTTTCTCTCTCTCTTATTACTCTCCCTAACAACATAATATTGCATACTTTTAGGTTGAGTACATGAAACCCACAAAACAAATATGCATTGTATGTGGCATACACCCCTCAAGGCAGAACATGCGCCACAATATTGAAAAAAAATATAAATATTGAAAAAATTTTAATAATATTTAAATTAAACATTGCTAAAGATACAAGAGCAGCAGCAGTTGTTGCTGCTGCTGTTGTTGTTGTTTGTTTGCTCTTTTTGTTAATTCTCGCCCTAAAACCTCAATAATGAATATTTCATATAATGAATATTTGATGTTGTATACTTTGCGGGGCAGCAGTAGATAATATTAGCATGTTAATATTTTATAACAAAAAAAAAGGAAACACATGTACATATCTATATACATATACTTACATTGTATTAAAATAATGAACAATAATATGTAAAGGCTTCGATCGAATGTCGGTCTCATGACTTCATAACTTCGTAAAATAATGGATAGTTGTTGAGAGGAGGGTTGCGGATGTACGGATGGATGTATGGGTGGTTGCGCGAGTGTGATAGAAGGGTCTCCTAAGCTTTGATTAGCAGCAGTATCCAATGAAGATTATAGCAAAGAATTCCGAAAATTTTTTCCTGTTCTGCTCCGCAAGTTAATCCAATTAGAAGTGGGTTTGATGTTGTTTTATTTGCGTAGAATTTCGCTTGCTCTTCCGTTCGCTCTCCACTCTTTTTTCTTTGGCACAGAGTGTGGGAGAAGTTGATTTTTTTGTTTTAGGTTGAGTTGTTTTTAATAGTAATCGGGTAAAGAGGATAAAGTGCTGAAAGTATAGAAAAGAATGGAGAGAGAGAAAAAAATAAGCTTATTAAAATAACATAGAGAACATACACATAGTGCTTCGTGTTAACAAGATTTTTTTTTGAGTAGCTTATAATAATAACATGAAAATAATTGTTGTAAAATAATTACTTTTTTAGAGAAATTTATGTTAGTTTATGTTAATAGTTTTGTTAGAGACATGATTTTTAATTAGTGGCATGATGGGGAAGACATACAAAAAATAAATAAAAATTTTATTAAACCAAATCAATTTTTAACAAATTTTTCAACAATATACTATAAGGACTTAGATATCAAACGAATGCGATTTTTTTTGGCAAAAATCGTTTTTTTTTTTTTTGCAAAAATCGTTTAATTTTTTTATAAAAATTTTATTTAAGGACCTTTGGACGACCAATCGGAATTTATTTAAGGAAAAATATATTTTTTTTTTTGAGAATATATAAAAGGAGCAGTAGAGAGAATATATTTTTAAGGACCCAAGAAATTAACTCGTTTTAATTTTTAAAATAATTTAAGGACCAAAGAATCAACTAATTGTTCTAAATACCAAAAAAAACAAACAATTAAAAAAACATTAAGTTCGGCCGGGCCAAACTTTAAATACCCTCCACCTTAGGGTAAAAGAAACATTAGAAGAAATGTGGCAAAAATCATTAAAATGCCGAATATCGAGAGATACCGTTATATGGGGGCTACACCAAAACGTGGACCTATAATTACAATGTTTCGCCACACGAACTAGGACCCATTATGACCCACATATACCAATTTTTAGACAAATCAGTGAAAAATATGGAAAAAACCATCAAAATACCGAATATCGGGAGGTATCTTTATATGGGGGCTATATCAAATAATGGACCCGTGCATGCAATGTTTCGCCACCGAAGCTGGAACCAATTATGACCAACAAATACCAATTTTTAGACAAATCCGTGAAAAAATGTGGCAAAAATCATTAAAATATCGAATACCGGGAGGTACCGCTATATGGGGGCTATACCAAAACGTGGACCTATACATGCAATGTTTTGCCACACGCACAGAAACCCGTTATGACCTACAAATACCAATTTTAAGACAAATCCGCGAAAAAAATTTGGCAAAAATCATTAAAATGCCGAATATCGGGAGGTACCGTTATACCGTTATACCAGAACGTGGACCGATATATCTCATTTTCAATTCCAATTATCCTAGACTCAATGCAAATTGCTCTGCTAAATTTTGGCGCTCTACGTCAAATAATGTGGGCTGTATCGTGATTTCAACAGACAGACAGACGGACGGACATCGTTAAATCGACTTAGAATTTTATGCTGATTATGAATATATATACTTTATGTGGTATAAGACGAATATTTAAGGATGTTACAAACGGAATGACAAAGTTAATATACCCTCCTTTCCAAGGTGGAGGGTAAAAAAGTTGTGAAATTTTGTAACGAGAGATTTATTTATTTCTTTTTTTTTTTTTTTTGTTAACGAATATTTTTCTAAAGACCAAAAAAACCAAATAAAAATGTAATTTTGTAAAGAGAGAGATTTTTTTTGAAATCGAATATTTTCCTTTAATAATAATTTTTTTCTTTTGAAGAATCTTAGGTCCAATAAAATCTTGAATCAATCAAATATCTCCCTTTAAAGGACTATATGGGCTGTAATTCTAGACTTAAAGCAATTTTTTTCAAGAACATTGATTCCACCAACAGAGGATTATCAAAGTTTTGTTTTGGTCTGCTTTCCAGAATTTTTCTTGAAAATTGATTCAAAGTTCTTCAGACAGCTTAAACGTGGAATATCAGCCACAATTTTTTCAAATCTCATCGGAATTTAAAATTCTCAATTTTTTAAAAATGTTTTAATATTTATCTAAGGGAAAACCAGCGTTGATTTTTAAAATAATTTAAGAACTAAAATTTGGGTCTTTATCTCTCTCGTGCTCTCTCTCTCTCTCTCTCCCTCTAAGGAGACACATTTTGGTAATAATAATTTAAGGACCAAAAATTGAGTCTTTATCTCTCCGCTCTCTCTCTCTCTCTCTCTCTCTATCTCTCTCCCTCTGAGGAGCCACATTTTGGTAATAATAATTTAAGGGCCAAAATTCGAGTCATTCTCTCTCTCTCTCCCTCTGAGGAGTCACATTTTGGTCCTTTAATTATTTTAAAAATCCACGCTGGTTTGCCCTAAAATAAATAATTACTTTTTTTCGGTCTTCAAAAAAAAGCTGGAATCTTTAAATTTTGCACGTGCATCCGGCTAAATGGTTAGGCCTATGATAAGGCTGGTGTTTTTGGAATTTCGTCCTAAAAAGGTACAATATTGCTAAATTGTACTAAAAATTAAATATTTTATACTGGACAAACCGAATAAGCTAGAATTCTTAAATTTGGATTGAGAGTCACTGGTGGAATGTAGGATACATATACTAAAAGGTTTTTAGAAATTCGCACTTTAAGATCACGAAAAGTTCTAAAATGGTACTAAATTTGTAAAATGGTACCATTTGGTATTATGTGAACGGATAGAGCTAAAAACTTAACATTTGGTATGAGAATCAAGGTAGGAAAGCTAGATTGACATATGAAAGTGGAAATAAGGAAATGTGTACTAAGTGTGCCAACTGTACTAAATGATACTAATTTTGGAAATGTTTGGTTAGGGGCGAACGGATCAAGCTGGAATTTTTATATTTCGGTATTGGGGTCCCTTTTGCTTGCAGGTTTGTGAAAAATGGGTGGTTTTGGAAATATGTACTACAAGTGCACGAAAAGTACATAATAGTACTATTTGGGGTACAATTTGGTATTGTGTGAACAAATAGTGCTTGAAATCTGAAATATGGTATTAGGGACGCTTTTCATGTGTAGCCTGAACATATGGAGGTGGTTTCGAAAATGTGTACTATAATTTTACGAAAAGTACTAAATGGTACTAAATTTGGTATCAAGTGAAGGAGTGGAGATAAAATTCTAAAATTTGATATTTAGATTGCTGGTGATGTCTGTATTTGAAATTTAAAGGTGGTTTGGAAATACGTCCTACGTTTGTACGAAAAGTACCAAATTGTACTAAATTTGGTATTGAGCAAAAGAATAGAACTGGTATCCTGAAATTTGGTACAGACGTCACTGTCGGTATCTGAAATTGAGATATGTGGGTGGTTTTGTAAATGTGTAATATAATTGTACGGAAAGTACTAAATAGTACTAAAATTGGGACTAAGTGATGGAGCCGCACCAAAAATTCTAAAATTTGATGTATATGTCATTGTTTATATCTCGAATTGAGATATGGAGATGGTTTTGGAAATACATCCTATATTTGTATGGAAAGTACTGAATAGTACTAAATTTGGTATTGGGTGAAAGGTTAGGGTTGGAATCCTCAAATTTGACATTGAAGGCTCTTTTGGTATATGGGACTGCGATATTAGCTTAAGTTTGGAAATACGAACTATTATTGTTCGGAAAGTACTAAATGGTACTATATTTGGTACAATTTGGTATTGGGTGAACAGATAGTTCTTGAAGTCGGAAATTTGCTTTTAGGATCGCTGTTCATGTCTAGCCTGGACATATGGTGGTGGCCTTGAAAATGTGTACTGTAATTGTACGAAAAGTACTAAATGGTACCAAATTTGCTATTGGGTGAAGGAATAGAGATAAAACTCTTAAAATCAATATGGAGGTCTCTATTAGTATCTGGAGTTGAGATATTGAGGTGGTGTTGGAAATGAGAACAATACTTGTGCTAAAAGTACTAAATGGTACTAAATTTCGTATTTGGTGAGGGGATAGGACTGGAATACTCAAATTTGATATTGAGGTCTCAGTTAGTATCTTAAATTGAGATACGTAGGTGGTGTTCAGAAACGTGCACTATAGTTGTACGAAAAGTACTAATTGGTACTAAATTTGGTATTGGGTGAAGGGATAGAGCAGAAATCCTGAAATTTGTTATAGATGTCAGCGTAGATGTCTGTGATTAAAGTATGGGGATGGTTTTCGAAATGTGTACTAAATTTGTTCGTAATGTACTAAATGGTACTAAATTTGGTATTGGGTTAAGTAATAAAGGTGGAATCATCAAATTTTTTTTTGATGTCACTGTTGGTATCTGAGGTTGAAATTTGGACGTGATTCTGAAAATGCGAACTGTAATTGTACGAAAAGTACAAATAGTACTTATTTTCGTATTGGGTGAATTAAAGGTTTGGCATCCTCAAATTTGATATTGGCATTACTGATAGTATCTGTCATTGAGATTTGGTGGTGTATCCTAAATTTGGTATTGGGTAAAGGATTAAGGCTGGAAACCTCAAATTCGATATCGGGATCTCTTTTGGTGTCTTGAATTGAAATATGTAAGTGGTGCTGGAAATGTATACTATATCTGTACGAAAAGTACCAAATAGTACTTAATTTGGTATTTGGTAAATAAATAGGTCTAGAATTCTCAAATTTGATATTGGAGAGGCCAGAGTTGGGTTCAAGGATTTACATGTGGAGACTTTGAAATAGAATATCCTTAAGAAATATTAGCGTATTAATCCTGGAAATATTTTTAAAACTCAAATCTTTTTTTTTTTTTTTTTTTGAAGGTTTCGGGAATCAGTTGTGGACTTTTCTAAGAATTATTGTCTAAAGATCTCAGGGAGTAACTAGGAGTTATCGAAGATTTTTCGTTAACCCTTTCAAAACAACTTTAATTGAATTACCACATTTCAATCCATGCTGTAATTTTTGGCATAAATTCCGCATCTAATCCTCTTTTCCCTTTTCCCCTACGTACTGTCACTTGAAACCCTAAATCTCAACTCCAAAAATGGCCTCAAACATTAGGCCAAAAATTCCATCGTTTCGAGTAGACATTTAGTGGTACTCGAGCTTTGTTTTATGCATAAAGGATGGTCGTATCATCTGGCAGTTAGCCTGGCTGGCAAAGAGTCACCCATTCTCGACAAGCAGTCAGGCT